GGAGAATGATAAATGCCACTCCATGTACCCTCCGTCCTACAACGTAACCAAAAATAATCTGGCAAAGCCAATGAGATTCAAACAGACTTCTGCCTTACAGAGTAACATGCACATCCCAAACTCCAGAAAGGGCCAGCTGTAAATGAGGGTTGGAGCGGAGGGGAGCTGGGGGCAACTTCCCACTGGCTTGTGGCAGGGAGCCCGCTCTGTCTCCCTGGGCTCAATGGGCTCCTCCAAAGCACCTAAATTAAGCTTCCGACCATATTATACCCCCGCCAGGGGAACGGCATTCCAACTAGAGCCAAGAAAGTACCAAGTAATTTATCAGGTTAAATCAGAGGCTGAACAGTAGGCTGTAGAAAAGTATTGCAGGCATTCTCCCTAATAACAAAGGGGATTTTTCTGGGGTCGTGACATCCATTGAAAAGACAGCAAAAATGTAGGCGGAGCAGACATGGACTGAACGTGTGTGTCCCAGGGCAGGAACCTGAGCAGCAGGACACCTCCCTGGTACTGCAAAACACCCAGATCCCGCGGCTCCGGGATGCAGCGGAACCACATGCCAACGCACATCAGCAAAACGGGTAGTCTATAAATACAAGTGAGAACATGGCGAAAATTTGGAGGTGAATTTCCAAATCTAATGAAATCTGAGGTCTCTAACCAAGGGTTTCTGTCATGCTCATCGCAGGCATGATTTGGTTTTCTATTACGTATTCATATGCTTCCATTCAGAACAACCTTGTTTCATTACAATGGATTCAGCTGTGCTTTGCAGTCCTGCTTCATTTCTTCCAAGGCAAATTGTTCAGGAGATTAACCTGACACATTTACTCCCCCGATAATATATCCTGTCTTTTCTGATATCATTACCAATTTCAAGCACATAGCAATAAATAGGCTTAAATCTTTTTTTAAAAGTAGTGACTTGAAAGCTTTCTTGTTCCCACATTTTCTTGGTACAACACATTTCACTTCACAGGTAATGTAAGATTCAGCTCAAATAAATATAAAATAAATTATTAAGCTCTCAGCCAAAAGCTTCTAGTCCTAAAAACCTTCTTTACTGGACGTGTAGAGCTCCAGCACACGGCGCAGCTCTAACTGGAGTTCAGGTTTTAAGTAGCTCAAAGTGGCAACTGTTCTTCTCTAGGAGTTCACCACATTATTCTTATGCTTCATATGCAGAGAAGACATTAGTGAAGATAAACTGTGCATCTGGTAATTGAAATTAAAGTTGCAACATCCATTATTGTAACATCCACTGTGCCGTATCTCAAACACACAGAGAATGAAACGGCTTTTGCGTATGAAGCACCAATTGCAATAACCACTGGAACAAAAATGCACTAAGAAATGTAATGAAATACATTTACACAACATAAAATTTCCTAAAAGTACTTACATTGTCATTACTAGTTTTCTAACATCTTGACAGATACAATAAGTAATTCTGGACAAGATGCCTGAGAAAAGCACAGCTTTTTCTAAAACTCAGAAAGTTGCACAGCGTTCACAGCAAAGAAATCTGTTCAAAAATCCAGTTTGCTTCCGAAAATACTGATTTATATAATGTCTACTCATATAAGAAGGAGAAATCTGCATGAACTTTGGAAGAATTCTTTGAAAGTATCTTCCTAACAAAATTTCAGAAAACACCAAACATTTCTGAGATTTCAAAGTCAGGATTTTTTAATGCAATAACATGTAGAGAAACTCTATCGACTTTAGAATCCAAGTAGCCATTAAGTGATTACAGTAGCAACAAAGCTATACTAAAACGGCCACCAAATGAAAAAATATCCAGTTTAAGCATGCTCCTGGGACCATGCTAGGGTTCAAGCTCTTCATAAATTTCTTGCAAATCAACAACTTTTAACAAGACTGTAAAATTTGCTTATCATTACTACATCAGTAAAGAAAAGCTCTTCCAATATTTTAGCTGATTAACACTGTAACTGCTAGCTTATATCATATAAAACCAACCAACCAACCAAACTCAAAATAATAAAAAAACCAAACCCCCAGAGATTGCATCGCATCTGGCTGAGGTAACCGATTTTTTAGAGATAATCTGAAGTCCTCTATGCGGAAATAACAACACAACGTATTTTACAGCAAGGAGCAATTAGAAAGACAAGATGAAGATCAACTTTGTACTTCCAGGGTGCTACCTACTGCGTATGAATAACGACATACGACAAACACAGCTGCATCAGCTGTCCAAATCTGGTGAGGTATGTAAAATCCTGGCTTGCAAAGGGAATGGAATAAAGATATTTACTGAAAAAAAAAAAATCTACTTTCCTAATTTTATACCTTCACAGGAGTGCTGCTTTAACCACCAAGAACAAGTACTCCTTTCCTATCCTGTAAAGCTCCCTGTAACTTGGTACCTTTTAACTGGGATCAGGACTAACTCAGTAGCTCTTTAGAATCAGACTATAACTCAGATGAACTAAAGGACAGGATCGAAGCACGCAAGGTGCTACTGCAATCAGATGGAGCTTACTAAACATTTAAGACGTATAAAGATAAAGACGCAGGACTGTAAATCACCACAAACCCAAGCCGTTAGCAGATCTCTGCAAATGCCTCCTGGACAAAGTTACATTATCCGCTTCATTCATTTTCTAATGAGCAATGTTCAGGGGTTTTATTATTATTAATTGCATATAAATTACCATGATTTTTGTATCACTGGGAAAGTATTTAGCCATTCACCTCTCCGAGGAATAACGCTGAACAAAGGCAGTGAATGCAGGGCATACAAGAACAACGCAGAACACAGAAATTTATGCATGCCATTTAAAAGGCATGGCATTTAAACTACTAGCCAAAAAAAAGAAATCAAAAGTATGTCATAAATCTTTAATTTTAAGGAAAAAATCCAGCTAATGGTTTGCCAAGTCCTTGATGCTATTTAAGCAAGAACACTGCCTGCTTCTGGAGTATAAAACCTCCTTAACTCCCGTATCTGCACACATCTCCAACCTCCTCTGAAGTGTTCTGCTGCAAAATTCATTGTATCCAAGATCAGCTAATCATCATCAAGAAACTCTGTATGCATCTTAAGGACGTACTTTAAGCTCTCAAGAGGAAAAATAAACATGTTTTATTAGCTGCTTTTGGAAAATACTGATTTGTATTTATTTAGAAACCTTTTCAAGTTGCACCACTGTTAAATTAAATATTTATGGCATGATTTTCCAAGGACTTTAGCACCTGTTAAGAGTTTAACATGCTGACTTCAATGGGAGCCCCGAGCGCCCAGCATTTCTGCAAACATCAGACGTGACAAGGCTTGGCTGCGGCAAAGCCGCTTGAGCGTAGATCTTACCGCTGAGCTCTGAAATGCAACCAGGATCCCCACCAGCCCCTAGCCTCCATTGCAGCCTTTCAGATAGATAATCAAATCAGCTACGTTTTTTTTACTAGAAATACCAGATATATGACTCGTTAAGACCTGTTAAATCCAAATAAAGCACAGGCTAAATGCTGGTAGTTAATCTTTCTCTGGAGACATTCAAAACCTGCCTGGACGCGTTCCTGTGTGATCTACTGCAGGTGATCCTGCTCTGGCGGGGAGGCTGGACTAGATGATCTTTTGAGGTCCCTTCCAGCCCCTGATTCTGTAATTCTGTGTGATAATCCTCAGTGCATCCCCACTTTCTGTCACTAGTGGAAAGCTTCACATGCTTCGGTCTTACAGAACTTAGAGAGGAGACTAAAATCCACAGTGCGTCACGAACTGGAAAGCAAAGCTGTCGATATTGAAGGAGAAGGTGCATAAGGATGAGGCTACCTTGGTAAAATACAAAATAAAGAAGGTACAGCAGAGAAAGAAAAGGTGTTTGGTACATTGCAAAACCTGTATTCTGGTGACACTGAGGCCAGCGGCATGGTCTTCAGTTTTGGCTGAAGTTTGTTGTCAAATGAAGTCAAAATAAGGGGTTGGGTCTAGTCATCCTTATTTTGCTTGGCTTCTGAGGGATGTGTACTTAAAACCCCTCTCAGCTTCACATCTTAAGGAATCCTATGTCTCCTGTTCTTGCACAGACAGATGATTTCCTGCACGTTGTGGCTGGCTGCCCTGCTGCCCAGCCTGGTCCTGCAACCAGTTAGACCACCATGCTCATTGTAAAAAAATTCTTCTTTTCATTCAGTTTAAATCTACCCTCTTTTAGTGTACAACCAAATATTTAGATCTCTTTGTGGAATTTGGCCTATACTTGTGGAAGCAAAAACCCCACATCTTTTAGGCAGTAAATATATAAATAAATAACATCTAAATAAGGAATTACTTAGACATGTTTCAAATGATCTTCCTACATGATTTCATAAATTGAAGATTAATAAAATAGCTGAATATTGCAGATAGGACACATCAATCTCCTTCTACACTTTACAGTACACTACAAATCTGCCCAGCAAGTCAAATATTTTACTCATTAAAATAGTAGCTTTCATTAGACTATAAAACATTTGCAAATGCAGACCAGAAAACCGACATATTTACTGTAAAGCTTTATATTTGTGTCATCAATTAACAACAAAAGTTTGGAATAAAACTAAAATAAAAGCTAATCAAAACAGCTAACTGTCAAAACAGATGGGAACTATATTTTTGAAATCAAGCAAAAAGCCAAAGCTTTCGAACATTAAGTGTCGTGTCAGCTGATACCGACAACTTAGAAAGTCAGGACAGCAAATGTTAGGATTATATGAAGAAAAGGTGTCCTCAGCTGAAAGATTCACGTTTATGAATTTCCATTGATTTTTTTTTTTTGGCTTCAGGATGATTAACTCACACCAAAGCAGACCTCTGATATGTGAGCTATAAATAAGGTGCTGCCATGACACCACAGGCAAAATAAATAAAAACAGAGCCCCGACATTTTTTTTTACCTCAAACAGATGTTTCAGCCACTGCATTGTTTGGCTCAGAAAGATACATAGACAGTCTCACAGACACAGATACAAATGAACAATTGCAGTACCTTTTTCCCACACTGTTTACAGGGTTGGCTATATTCCTACTGGCAATAGATTTTCTTCTTGACAGCTTCTTGGTGTTGGTGCTGTCATCAGTGCTGTCATCCTCTTTCTTTGGTGTGTTACTTCCTTTGCTGTTCAGGTCCCTTAGCACATTATAATTAATTTTACTTGAGATTTTCTTCTGTTCTAACATCTTTTCAATTGCCTCTCCTGCTGTGCTGGCTTGTATTGGCTCCCGCTTCTTTGCAGATTTCTTTGGCTTAATTAAAATATAAAATTAGTGACGGAGACACAAACAAAAGTTTCCACAAAGCAGAAGGGCGAGCGGCAGCCCAGCAGTCCTGGCTCAGGTGCTGCTGATGCGGGGATGCAGGTGACGTGGCCAGGCTACACCAGTGTTCCCTCTCCTGCCACTCAACAGGACCGAGAGGTCTCTTGTCTCTGAGAGATAAGAGGTCGCTTCTTGCCAAATGCCCACAGAGCTTATTACAAATTGTTTACTCACTATTTGTAATGCTGCCAGAGAAGAAACAAGGGCCATATCTCACTTACGGAAAAAAATAAAAAAGGAGCGAACACCTATTACAGGAACAGGCACTTTGATAGCATCACCCAGCATGAAAATAAAGAAATTCCCCAGCTAAAACTGCCTTTAAAGTAAGAATCAAGCTGGGTCACAACTCCCCTAAGCACCAAAAACTCCGTATCTAAACTACAATAGTATCTTGTATCAAGCCCGAATGGGGTGTGGAAGAGCATCTACCCAACTCCTTCTCCACCCTGAAAAAGGCCAAGAACATCAGCAGCAGCTTTCCAAGTGTGGGCTGCCGGGGATGCTGATGGGTGGGATGCGGGAGGCAGCGATGTCACCCGTGCCTGTCCTTGCCCGGTGACCGCCACAAGCCCCAGCGCTGCCGGGGTTGATGCCGCACAGAGCCCAGACAGAGGGAGGTGACACCAGAGAACGTTGCTAACCGTGTCCTGTGCCTCAGTATGTATGGAAAAAAACTAAGTAAAAAAAAAAAAAAAAAGGGGCCTCTGTTTCTCATCTGGCTTTTTCCTTTTCAAAGGAAGGTTTTAACACCAAGCTCTGCAGGAGATTTATTTCTTAACGGATAATAGCCCCTCTGTTTACCTACATGGGTCAAGTGCCACCTTGAAATTGGAAAGCACTGTATTAATCAAGTTCTACTCAACCTGTCAGAAACAATACAGAGTTAGAGAAAACTTCTGTGTTGTCCGAACAAAAAAGTGAGTGTTTGGGCAACTTGGTGGTGCCAATGAGTTATACAATTTTGAAAGTTGCTGGTAGACTGCCACGTCTGTGTAAGCGCAGGATGAATGAGAAACTCTGAAGCATAAAACAGTGTTTCACTGTCTGGTTTTGTTTTTATTGTTGAAATACCTAGGGGAAGTAGGAAATGCTGTCTTTCACATTAGTCAGAAAAGAAGACAGGCTATATGCACTAAAAACTAACATGGATTTCAGCTGCATGTGGAAGATTTGACTTGTCACTTGCTCAATTGCACAAAATACTAATGCCGTAAATTGTGAATATACGGGCAATTAGGCTCCTTTAAACTACTAAACATGGAGACAGGACACGCCATTTGTTAACATAACTGTCGCATACTTTATGAAAGGTAGAACAAAGTATTCCTTCAAGTGACTGTAACAAGGATCTGTTCAGTTCTTCATAAAGAAATCATTACTGTAAGAGCAAAGAAAGCTACTGAAGTTATGGCAAGTACAAACAAATTCCCCATGCACACTTTAAAAAAAAATCAGGCATGTCTTAAGACTGTATTTAAATAAGCACGCAATTAGGAGAGCAATCATAAATGCAAAGAGCTAGCTATGACTTTGCCATGCACAGAATTTTCTCATAGTAGCAATTTAAAATAAAAGTTTGGGCAAGAAAGTGCTGAAAAATTATAGCCTTGTAATTCAATAACCGGTAGAGTTACAATAGCTTCTACCTGTTCAGGGGTGACCTGTAGCATTATGCCCATACATCCTGCATGGAGTTGATCAGCAAGTGTAATGAATTTAGAGGACATTTTCAAACAGACACAATTAGCACACAGTTTAATACCTTGTGTTCCTTATAAATCCCAAGTTCTTTCTCTTTTGCTATTCTTGCTTCCTTTTCTGAAAAATGACAAAAGGGTAACCAGTATGAAGATTACACAGATTGCGTATTTCAGCAATACTGGCCAAAAGAAGACTTTCAGCCCTATGTACTTACCTTTTTGCTCTTTCAAATAATCTGCGTTTTCTTTCATCCACAGTTCTGCTTTTATCTGAGCTTCTGCTTCGTTAAGTATATACTAAAAGACAAAACAAGTTTATCTACTTCCAGAAATCAACTTGAAAACCATAGAGCAAAACTGAATTGAAAAACCACTGGCAAGGTCAATTCACATTCTGTGTTTAAAAATACATTAATAAAAGAAAACATGACTGAGATGTGACAGTCAGAGAGCAGTTCTAGTAACTTCTAAAGCCAGCAAAAAAACCTGACATGTTTTCAAAACCCAGTGCTTGGTTTCCAAACTATGATGGGGTGACCAAAAACTATCCAGGACTCATTGTACGTGGTCTGTAATTAACCTAAAATGATCCCTGCTCTATGATCTTTTTCAGATGATTGTGAGGGTATCACGACAACATGGTTGTCTGCAAGTAATTCTGCGTGTTGATGGTGGTCTGTAATTCAAAACACCAAGGGAACCATTGCCCTGTACTACCAAAACAGAAACATGTGTCTCCTGGGTAGGTTTCTGTAAAGGTTTAGGCACAGTTACTGAGATTATTAGTTCAGTGGCCACATCTGTGTGAACGAAAACAGCTTTGATTGCTGGAGATTTTTCCCCCTCTAGATTTTAGAGAGTTGGGTTCAGTAACCACATCTAGGCTTTTTTTCAGTTAACTGCACTTAGTCTCAGGAACGTCATTAGTGGGTGTGGAGCTGTAAAGCACATCTAGAACTATTCAGCTGAATTACTGAAATAAACAAACAGGTAGGTAGCAGGCAGGCTGGCAGATTGATCTCCTTTTCAACTACGTAAATGTACAAATAAACCCAGTATTTACCAACGAGACATTTTCTTTTTAAGCTTTTTAAGCAACACACCCAAGATTTGCAAAACGATGTTTAAGTGCAAGAAAAACTATTTGAGATTTCTCAATCTTAAGGGCTTGAGCATTCGAGATTTTCTCCAAAGTAAAACGTACACATAGGATTTTACGAGAAAAAGAATTCCAGACAAATGAAACTAATGCAGGGGTGTCCCTCCTCTGAGGGCAAACAAGGCAAGCAAACAGCTGTGCACGCCCTGGTTTATCAGACCAACATATTCACTCTTTCATCTGCTTCTATTAAAAATGGGCCATAATAGTAAAACTCACTTCCTCTTAGCTCAGTTATTCATCCTTCTTACGCTTTTAGAGAGTTCATAATCTTGGCCTTACGATATTACAGTCTATTGCCATGGAAAGGAACATGAGGTCAATAAAAGCAGAGTTATGACCTCATCAGAGAGCCTAGGAAGAGGAAAAAATGCATTTGTTCTTCTTGCGTGATTGTTTAAATTATGAACCAGCTATACTGAACTCCTTCAGCCTCCCTGCTCCCTCCGCATTGCGTCCAGTCAATTCACAAGACCTGACCTAATGTCCAGCCTAAGCAAAATCTGCTTCACGGCTGCTGGCACGCAGAGCATTTTCCTACTCCTTCATCCATTGCCAACAAAGTTCTGCAGATCGGTAACCCCTACGCAACCTCACCGCTCTCAATGATTTCGTACCCCAAAAGGAGTTTTTAGCATTGGAGTTATTTGTCCAAATTACACTTTAAACAGCCGGACAGGACATCAGGCTCAGAGTCAGGAGAGCTGGACACGGTCGCGTGCTCAAGCGCTGACCTGCTGCGTGGCCTTCAACAAGCAGTTCTTCACAGCTGCCTGCCCATCATATTCAGGCTATATGGTATTTGCTGCCACAAAAATAATAATAAATCCAGAAAATGTTACAGAAATCTTTGAAAGAACACAGAAATTGCACATGCTGGTTTCACGGTTTGGTTTCCATGGCAGCCTCCTATGTTGAATATAACTAAATTAAATAATGAACTCCACCAAACTTTCACAAGTCCTTCTTCAGAATACAAGAAATTCTAAAACACAATTATTCCAGCATGGTAAAAACAAGCAGCAGTAGCAGTCTCACATATATGGAGCAAGGAACACCAAATTCATAGGCTTGCATGAATGTTAGTTTTGATCTCAAGTCACTGGAATCACCCAAATTCACAGGCTTGTATGAACATTCGTTTTGATCTCAAATCACTGGAATCACTCAAACTTCTATAGATCAGAGCAAAGAGGCAGAGAGGGGAGAGGATAATGCAGGTAAGAACCATCTCGTCCTTCTCAGATATCCAAAAGCAGGGCCACCCGGGATAAGAGGGCACCTTACCCGATCTATTTCACTGTCGTCGATCCCACTCAGATCTAATTCACCATCTCCTGTGTTCTCACCTACAGAAAGGAACACACTTTCATCAGGCAGACATTTGTCCAAAGTCCATCGCAATTCAAGTTTGATGGTAAAGTAACATTTAACGATCATCCTTCGGAGATTTGCATCCTTTCACATTCATCCAGGAGGTTTAAAGTGTTGCTGAGTGTTTTCAATATGAGGGTACATGCACACACAAATTCACCCCACAGGATTAATTTAAAATTCAGGAATCAGCATGGTCGTCTTCAGTACTAAAAATCTGTCAGAAACTTCCAGTTGCCTTTTTCTCCCATTTTAATTCACAGCCACAAATGCTCATCAGGAAGCTGAGGAAACTATTCTGAAAAGATGACATTTTTCTTCCCTTATAACATGCACTCCTCTGTCAGAGCCCATAGGCTAATAACTTATCTGTTAATTATGACTTAGAAAAAAATTTCTGTTTTCAGGGGAGCAGTATGGACCAATGAATAACATCATGCCAACAGCCATACTATGGCTTTCTTCTCAGTTCTGATCTACCATCACTTGAACTACTTACCCCATACCAGTTCTGTAAGATGCATATTAATTTTCCTACCTGTAAAATGGAAATTATTAAAGCATTTTCAAACTAAAATAATTTTTAAAAGCTATGGAAGGGTCTATATAAATGTTAAAACAATACTGACTTGCTGTAATTACAACTTCACTGTGATTTTTCTAGTTTTGTATTTATTAAGACTTCTTCTGAAAACAAATTTTTAAATATTCTCACCATTAAAAAGCATAACAACACAGAAATGCCTTATTTGGGACTGGCACAGTGTACAGTAGCAAAACCTGATTTTCCACTTCACGCTACTGTACAGTAGTAATACACTATTAATATAGTCCAGGTAGAGAAGAAAACAAATTATTTAACAAAGACTTATGCTGGGGAATGAAGCAATCGTCTTGGTCATCTAATCGAGACTAGACAAGAGATGACCTAACCAGCTCACATGTAGAAAAGAAAACAACAAGCAAATTAGGTTGCCACAATGTGCAGCAACAAATTAAAACCAGAATGGTACAGAAGAGCTTGGTATCTTCACAGCTCCTGCTCCCCAGCCCTGGGGATGTACCTCCCCACAAACCAAAGCCTTTGGATGATTTGATTCCCCAGCCTGGTGCTTTCTCTCAGAGCAGAGCTCCTGAGCTGGGCTGGCGGAGCAGGAAGGCAGCGGCAGCTCTTCAATCCAGTAGCAGGTTACAGCAACCAAATGGTGAAGACAAGCAAAGGTAGGAATTACGAGCACTCCCAGAAGACACAAACGATGCTCTGCATGGCAAAACCTCAGACTTTTAAATCAGTTGCCTAAAGTATGTGAAATCACAGGGTCAGGAATCCAACCAAAGCACCTGGTTAGGAACAGAGGCTGCATTTATTGAGGTGCTGCAAAGGGTCTGGCTGCTCAACTCAACAGACCTTTAGCCCTGCCAGACACCAAGTGCTTAGAAATATCTTTTCAAAATCCACCTTAAACAACAGAAAGTTTTAAAGACTCCATACCAAGCCATACACGAAACAGGTTTTGCCCCACAGAAAATATCCTGTCACAAGGAACAGCTCTGATTTTTTCCTGAGATTGTCTCATAAATGCAATACTAACTTTACCAATTCGGGTAATGTAATGCTAATATGACTGAAAAGGCCCTAAGGAACACTTCTTATTGCTGCTACATTTAGAAATTAACTGTACTTTAGTTCTAAGCACCAGATTTACTGTACAACCATTTTCCCCAAAACTATTTAAAAAGCATAAAAGATTTTATAACTGCTATATAATTGCTAGGTACATATGCTTTTCTACTGGTCTGATCTCTATATAGTGCAGTAAGCGCAGAACTTTCTGCATCAGTACCACCAGCTCCTTGTGCAGGCACCCTGCTACCACGCAGGCAGGAATATAAGCCAAGGACACGGAATCACAGAATGGTTTGGTTGGAAGGGACCTTAAAGATCTTTAAGTTCCAACACCCTGCCATGGGCAGGCATGCCTCCCATCATTCCAGGTTGCTCAAAGCCCCATCCAACCTGGCCTTGAACACTTCCAGGGAGGGGGTATCCACAATTTCTCTGGGCAACACAACTTATGTGGGCAAAGAAAGCCCTGGCTCGAGACTGGGGAAGAAAAGCAAGGTGATAAAATACATCATGGTTGTTTGCTGCCCTTTAACACAACTCAATGGAATTTATTTTTCAGCAAACCACAAAGCGCAGAGAGGAGTCACTGTGTGTTGCATCACCCTCAATAGTCCAGGATATATTGCAAAACAGTACTACAGGGCTCTTCTGCTGGAACCTAGATATAAACTTCCAATGAGTGAAATGCTTAAATACTCACTGAGGAAAGGAGTGAGTACTGGAGGCTATTGTCCAAGACACCCTCTCCGAAGATCGTCCAACTGGGTCCAAGAAATGTTTCATTGCACAAAATAAAAGAGCTTGACAACAGTGTGCCCAGTCCAGAATAACCTGTCTCCTAGGTCAGAAGCACTTTTTGCACAAATGGGTCTTGAACTGGGTCTCCCATATTCTGGGTGGGTAAGCACTTCAACCACCAAGTTGTAGGACAGAAGAGGGGATTGCCTCTCTCTTCTTTGTGTTGTCTGCCTTTAGTTTCTTCAATGGTTTGGGTGGAACAAAAAACCCCAACTTTCAGCTTGGGTTAGCTGAGCAAATAAAGCGCTTTTTTTTTTTTCCCCCATGTTTGTTGCACCAGATAAGCTGTCAGTCATTGACACAGGCTTGGAATCAGGGACAAAGAAAACGGGAGCCAACCTCGAAAATCACTAGTAATTTCTGAAAATCACGGGCTAGAAAACAAAAATTTGGAAGTGGTGACAGAATTACTCAAGTCATTACTCAACTTTACATAAAATTGCATCCCAGAATTATTTGTTGTAAAAACTGCCACAGCATCGTAAGAGCAAAAAAAATATCCTACCGAAATCCAGCTGCCACTACTTTTATTCATCATTAAATACCTCGCTCCTCCTATACCCTGCTATATTTTTGGATCAGAAGTTTAAAATTTAATGTCACAGTACAGTAGGTGTCTGTTCCCTTATACCGCCCTAATATGCCAGACTGAAAATGATGTAATTTCAGGCACCATGAACAATTTCACATGTCATTTTAAATATAACTTGTTACTGAATTAGGTGCCAGTTTTTCTCATTGGATCAATTAGCAACGGGGATGGAAAGCTCATTCTCCAACCGGTAAATTGCAGAGAGAATCCAAAAGCAAGTTATACTTAATAAGCATTTCTTAGGCCCCATAACAGCAGTAGAGGAGTAATTGCAGGATATCCCTCTGCCTGCAAGTCATCCTTTTTCCTGCCAAGGCGATAGGCATTCATTAAATGTAAGGGGTTTTTCAGAAGAGAAGGTGCCTTCAAATCCCTAGTTTAACACTTTCACTGAGAAAAAAAAAGTGTGTTTTGTTATTGAATGCCAATTCAAAACAGAATACATCCGTTTTCAGCTGAAAATTTCCATGGCAATCGCTTCCAACAGGAGTAGAACCCACCGCCCATAAATATCCCTCTGCTCGATGTTATACAGCTCACTCCAGGGCATGGAAAGTAAGCCGCTTGCTTTTTTATACACCAGAAAGATCTCCCCAGCTGCTAAACTTTTCAAAACAATTTCTAAATGATCATTTTCTCTTTTAATAAAAGGGTCAAAATGAAATGTTCGACGAAATAAAAACACAGATGTGGCCAACATCTGGTCCAACCTCTTAAAAGCTTATTTAAAAGCAGTAGCATCACGTGGCACGGCTCTTAGACATCACGGATTTCTTCTGTTTAAGAAAAACAACCACTTTACTGCAAGGCACAGGAGAAAAATAAGTTGGGCATTAAAAACAACCACCCCTCCCCCAAATCCAGTTCTTAAATGAAAGTACCATGTAGAGAGAGGCAGCGAGCAGCAGCCTACTCCATCCTCACCTCACATCTCCGTGGCAGGTGGAGGAAGGACGGGTGCATCTAGAGCTTTCCATCAAGGTCCCAAATCAACCACCTTCAGGCCACTTAAAACCATCATTCACCTTGCCAGCTCCCCCTATATTTAAAAATATCACCCCCCTGCCAAAGCCCTTTCTTCACAGGCTTTTAATGTTTTTCCAACCGACTCTAGTAGGGCTACAATCAGACACTAGGGATTAGGTTTGTAAACCTATAGGATTATTTACTGTTCTTGTCATTACTAAACGCACACTAAACCCTCTTTTAACACACCGTCTCTCCCCCTCTCTACCTCTGTGCAGCTAGTTAAACGTATACGTAGCACAAGATTATGGGGATTTATTACAGAAGAATCATTCCAGACGATATATTTTAAACCTCACATTTTTAAAAACAGCCATCTGAAGAACGTGTTTTTCTGTTTCTATTACAGGAGGCAGCACTATTTATTGCTTTGTCCAGATAAGAGGATTTCCTTACAGACAGAAATGGAGTCTGAACACTTCCCAGGAAATCCTCCGGAGCAGATATAATAGAATGCACTCGGTGCTCTAGTCCCACGCAGCAAATACAGCCTCCATCGTGCTGTTTTGTAGCAGCCAAAGAGCTGAGTGAGTTTAAACAAAGAACCCTTCCACCTACTCAGCCCAACACCAGACACTAAGCATCCCCAGTGTTTAAGAAATACTTTGGGGCCGGGACACAAGAAAATGTGAAAATAGTTGGGAGAGGCTTTTCCACTAACAAAAATCCTTAACCAACAAGCCGGGGCATCTGGAATACCGGGATTGATTGCTGCTCTCCAGGGAAGGATTAAAACCGACGGGAGCTAGAGAAATCTCCCGCAGGCTGCCGGAGGAATCCAATGGGGCAGAAAAACTTTTGCAGCTCAATCTGATGAGTGGCGCCGGTCTCGCTTTGGGAGCTGCGAGGAGCGCGAAGGGAAGGAGGTAACGTGGTGTCAGAAAAACAGTCGCCGCCAAATCGCACCAGGATATAATTGATTAGTTGATCAG